TCCTGCTACCAGGGCCTCCCCTACCTTGCGCCTGCAGCAACCAAAGCCTTCCTTACAGAACTCTGAGCCCCCACAGCAAGCCCTGCCACTCTGGCAGCCACAGGGAGAGTGCAGGAACCATTGAAGAGCGGCGGGCCCAAGCAGCCCCATCCAGGCCTCCCACCCTGCTTCCCACCAGACCCTGGAGAAAGCCTCATGGCCCAGAAGCGGGAGGGAGAGGAGCTTCTCTGAAAATGAACAGCAGCGGCTTTCCCTGTTGACACAGCAGATGACAATTCTGGAAAACCAGTGACTTGTTCAGAAGACAAACATAACCAACCACAGGGTTATGTGATAACAGAACAGCTTTTCCAAGGGTCTGTTCCTTCTGCTGTGGCTTTGATCAGCCTTGTTTATTTTACAAGCTCAAGGATCACTCCAACACAAGTGCAGCCATCCACTGACAAGAGCCCCTCTGAGAAGCAGATGAACCCACCAGAGAGAGGGCTGTGACCCACCCTCCATCATGGGCAGGCCGGGAGCAAGCCACTCACGCTGCTCAGGCCCCTCTGCGTCTAGAAGGTCCTGGCCACTGCTCCGAGAGCCAGAAGGTAAGAAGCCTGCAGTAGGAGCTGAGAACAGCTGGAGAAGGCAAGCACACAGCAAGAGGCCTCTTTCACCATTCTCTCCCATATGCTTTAATTATTTTTTTTTAAAAGATTTACTTATTTATTTGAAAGGCAGGGTTTCAAAGACAGAAAGAGAGACAGACAGAGAGAGAAAATCTCTACTTGCTGTTTCATTCCTAAAATGTAAAGATGGTTGGGATTCCATCAGGGTCCCTGTATGTGGGTACAGGGTAACAAGTGCTTGAGCTGTCGCATGCATTAGCAGGGAGCTGGACAGGATGTGCAGCAGTGCCTGAGACTTTTCCAAACTGTTGCTTTTGAAAACCATATTCCTTATCGTGTGCTGCTGGGCTCTCGGTGCCCTTGTCTCTGACCTGCTCACACTGACAGGAAATTCCTGGAGCCCCTGGGCCCAGTTCTCCCTTCAGTTCTTTGGAGAGGGAAGAATTGGGGTCCACAGGCTCCAAGAATTTCCTGACAAGAAGTAACAAGGCGTAAGAGTGGGGGATCAATGGGGGCACCGGGGAGCTGACCCACTATCTGAGAAGCAAGTGACAGAGGACTGCCCAGACTCGAGGGAGATCACGGGTCTACACTTTCAAGAAGCTGGTAAAGTCCAGGCAGGCTGAGCTCCACAGATCCACATGGAGGCCAAGTGCAATCAAACTGGGGGAAGACAAAGGGACGGCAGTAAGAAGGACATGGACAAGGACATGGACATGGACAAGGACAAGGACTCCTCATTCTGTCTGACAACAGGCTTCCCATCAGAGACCAGAGGAAGGCATTTGCAATGCTAAGGGAAAACAAATCAATTAAGAATTCTATGAATGGGCCCAGCGCCGTGGCCTAGCGGCTAAAGTCCTCGCCTTGAATGTGCCAGGATCCCGGTTCTAATCCCGGCAGCTCCACTTCCCCTCCAGCTCCCTGCTTGTGGCCTGGGAAAGCAGTCGAGGACGGCCCAAAGCTTTGGGACCCTGCACCCGCGTGGGAGACCCGGAAGAAGTTCCTGGCTCCTGGCTTCGGACTGGCATAGCATTGGCCCTTGCACTCACTTGGGGAGTGAATCATCAGACAGAAGATCTTCCTCTCTGTCTCTCCTCCTCTCTGTATATCTGGCTTTCTAATAAATAAATAAATCTTTTTTTTAAAAAAAAGAATTCTATGAATGGCAAAACCTAACCTTAACCCTAACCATGCTTCAAAACTAAAGGTAAAACTTAAAATTTCTGACAAATAAAACCTAAGCAAACTTGAAGTTATATCTCCTCTAGAAAATAAAAGAGGGGCTGGCTCCACCCCTTTCATTCATTTAAAAAGGTTACTGAGCAACACATCATGTGCCCATATCATGATGGACATCCAAGAGGTAACAGGGTAGGAAATCCCAGCGGTGGTTCAAATCCCTTGGCAGGTTTTGTGTCCGGGCTAGAACCTTCAGGGGAGCAGCTATGACACACCCACCTCACTACATTAACCCCTGGGCTCTGGGCCCTCGGCTAGTGGGGGCAGAATCACGGGGAAGTTACACACCTCAACTGACTCACTGTAGCATGTGACACATGGCAGGGCCACAACAGGTGGCCTGGGTAGTCAGCAAAAGCCGAATGGCCTCTGCACTCGGCAGGCAGCTCTGACCTATGAGCACTAGTGTAGCATGCGGGGTTCCACCTTGCCAGAGAAGGCCAATCTCACTCATTGGCTCACATGGTAACGTACCAGGACTGCAGTGGTGTCATGTACTTTGGCTTCCGAAGCTCTAGGGAAGCCCCATTACCCAGACTCACACAAGCCACGTTCAGTCGCAAGCCAGTCCATGGTGATTTGCACTTCACCTGGCACGGGCTTGCTGCAGTCTCAGCCTCACCGTGCCTCGGTGCTGTTTTTTACCCATTCTGTGTATGCAGGTAGGTGTGCATAGGTGTTTATGTCCTACTTAAAGCCACACTATTGTTTTCAAGGTTCAGTGTTTGAAGAAAGAAAGACACACACACAAAGCTAGGTTCTGAATTCCAGGAGCAAGTAGGCAGGGTCTCTATGCTATAAATGACCAGCAATCCAGGGATGTTGGATCTATGTTCGGTCTTGTCTCCCAGTGCTGGGAGAACCTCCTGCTTGATGCACTCTCTCCCTTCACACACCCCAGTGGGCTGGCAGACACAGCATACCAGTCACTGAAGAACGCCACTTCAGGGGCTGCATCTGGAACTCCCGCGTCCCTGAGTCCTGAGCCAAAATGACTGGACTCCAGTGGCTCCCCAAAACACCTTCCTGCAGAGGTGGTAAAGGGACCCCATGGACTGTGAGGGAGGCAGCTACAGGAATGGCCCTGGCCATGAGCCTTGGCCAAAGGTGATCAGCGCACAGTTCAGCAGGACGAAAGATGCAGCTGCACAGGAGTAGAGCACTGCTCTTTTCAAGTCCTGACTGGGTGTGCCGAAGCTGTCAGTTACCCAGATGGCATGCTGGCAGGCCAGCAGGCAGTGGCTGCAGCTTCGCCACACTACAGTGGCCTCCAACTCATCTGTAGGTGCAACCACAAGAGGGGCATTCGGGGTATGTGAACTCCAAGAATCACGACATACCACAGCGGCGCTCAGACATGAGACCCCCTGCAGCTCCCCTACAAGGAGCCACACCCTAACTGGCTCGCCGTGCCAGTCTTGTCCTTATTTCTGTAATGACACCTAAGATACACACCAAGTTCTCTAACTGATCCCAGGGCAGCAGGTCTTCACATCATCAGTCAGGACGAAGGTGCCCTGGAATGCCAACAGCTGCAGCTGGGACGAAAATGGGTTCTTCTGACATAGAGAGCTTCTATTTCAGGATCTTTGCACTCAAGGCAGGCTGGGGTCCCAGTTGTTCTCTCTCCCCCACAGTCAATGCTCAGATGCAGTCTGCCAGGATCAGGAATCCTCCAGCCCTGTAAGTGCAACGAGGCCAATGTTCTGGGCAGCAGTTTCTGAGAGCCAACCCTTGGAGAACCGAGCTGGGAGCATGGCCGCTCTGTCCCATAGACTAGCTGCCCAGTGCTGTCACTGGGCACTAAGGACACTCAAGAGGTGAAGAGAAGGATGAGTTCCCATAGGGCACCAAGAATGCACCACGTTGAGGTGAAAAACACATCCCCTATGTGGTACATGAACCCCAGGTGGGTCTTCTCTCAGCTGCCACCTTCCTGCTAGCGCTCCTTCAGCTGCTGTCCTGCACACCTAAGGGTGGTTCTCCACCAGAGTGACTGTGGGCGGAGCCAGGGGACAACCTTGGTTGTCCCAGCTGAGGGGCCGTGCCTTGCAGGGACATAGCCCAGGAGGTCGGTGTCATATGGGGCATGGGAAAAGCCCACTGCTGAGTTCTGCAGCCCAGAGTGTCTGCTCTGCACTCAGAGGCCATACCCAGGAGCAGGGCCAACCAAGAGAGGCTGGTGGATGCTGCGGAGGTGATCTGGAATGGCCAATGGCCAGGGGTCAGCAAAGGGAGAGGAACCGAGTGAGAAGTCACCCTGACCTATTCATTCTCAGCATCCAAAACAATGTCATTTCAATGTGGAACTGATACTCGAGAGTCACCGAGACACTGCCACATCTTGTTAAGTGCTGAGACCCACGTGTTATGCTCACATGGCATACCTCAGGTAGGATGAGCAGAGATTCACACACGAGGTCGCCATGTGTGGTAAGTGCTGCTGGACTGGACTACTGGTTCTCTGCAGATGACAACAGCACCTGAGAGGGGCACTGTCCTAGGCAAGTGCCACTGAGCGGCGACAACAAGGAAGGTGTCTAGAAAATCACAGCGTATTCATGCAAGGAACAGACACATTGAAAAGCTGAGCTATCTGCTGCCAGTTGATGATAAATGAGCCCACACATCCAAGTAGCACCGGCCCTGCATCAGAGCTGCAAGATGTGCAAGAGCTGCTCATCCAATGGCCAAGCCACAAGCCACAGAGCCCCTTTCTTCCATCCCAAATGAAGACAACTCCTGAGCAGCCACTTCCTATAACTCTGAGCTCAGATGAGCACTCTGCCAGCACTGCACCAACAACAGACCAGACTGTACTGTGAAGGGGAGAAGAGACAGCTCCCGGGGGACGCTTGCAACATGGTGTCCAGCGACATCACTGCGTGCCTCTGACCAGGGCATGTGAAGGTGGTGTGGTTCCCTCAGAAATCCGAGACTTATTCACTGCCCCCAAGTCAGCCCATCACAGTCACCTCAAGTACATTTGAAGCACATGGGATAGGGAATTGGACAATTTGCTATTCCAAAAATAATTCTTCATGTGTTATCTTTCCAGAAACAGGGAAACCTCAGGGCTAGATTTCATACATATATCCACGCCAGCACAGAAATGTCATAAAACAGAAAGGCAGCATTCTTTCTCACCTTTGTTGTGCAATCCTAAGAGGGTCAGACAATCCGATGCCAGGCACATCTGTGGGGCACATGGCGGAGCCCCCAGGCTGTAGGCTAGTGTGTATGTGTGCGTTTGTCCTGAGTTTCGCAGCAAACAGACCCTGGCAATGGAAAAAGAAAAACACAGTCATTTGTGCATATTTATCTGGTATTTTTGCAAGCCAAACAAAAAGTCTGGGACTAGTTCCTAGAGCAGTTAACCAAGCTCAGAAACAGGGATAGCTGTGGATGAAACAGAAATGCACGCAGATTCCTGGGACTGGGCTGCGACGGGATTGTCAGACCTTTGGTTGAGGCACCTGAAACAGAGTCCACTCAACCACATCCAGTGCGGGCGCAAACAATGGGACTGGGGCTGAGCCAGGACTTGGCTGGGCTCTACAACTCGGCAGCAAAAGCAGCAGCAACCCAACTGAAGAACAGGCAGACAACAGGACACCCAAGTGACTAACAGCACAGAAGATGCCCCGAGTCAGTGCCAGTGGAGCTGCAAAGACTTGGGGGCAATGACTGGAGTTGACACAGCAGTGTAGCCCTACTCAGTGCCATGACTGTATGCTCCAACGTAGTGAAGACACAGATTCTGTGTTGTGTGTGTTTCACTACAATGAATAGCTTCCGAAGAGCACACGCAGTTACATGCTGCATTCTCGCTCAAACTCTAATTCCCATCATGTCCTTGTGGCCTGAAGAAAGAAGCAGAGTACAGCAGGAGCCCCTGTGCCTGGGCATCAGACCTAGCCCCACTGCAATGTGCACCTGACTGGGCACAGGCGAGCAGGGCATCTTCTCACCATGTTACTTTGCCTTCTAGCTCCTGTTGAGACACAGCCCGCTCTATCTCCTGACCCCTGGGCCCACCTTGGTTTTCCTCTATGTAGCTCTGTGCCCAATTCCTCGTGACACAGCCTCTCACTCCTTACATGCCCAAGTCAGCCTGATTAGTCACTAATAGTTTCTCGAGGTCTTCTAGTCTGTCTAATGTACCATCAGAGTGGGGGTCTGTAGATACCACCTCCAGGACAGGAAGCCAGTAATTAGCATGTCTGTGCTTCCATCACAGCATCCTCTATTCCAGCAGCAGGGCTAGTGACAGGAAGGTACAAATTGGACCTGAGTCTTACCCACTGGACCAGACCACACCACACTGCTGGTCCACACCACACCAGACACCACACCACACAGCTGGTCTACACCACACTGCTGGTCCACACCATACCACACTGCAGACTTCCACACACTGCTGGTCCACACCCTGCAAGCTAGTGACCTCCACACAGAACTCTGATGAGGACTCTTGACTGAACACTTTGTCATGGAAGACTTCTTCCATTTTTGCTTGCCCATTCCCATAATTAATGTCAATGTTTAATTTTCCACTCATATTTCTTACCAATCCAGATCCCACACTAAGCTGATAGCAGCATCCATGCCTTAACCTGTGACATCACAGATTGCCACTCAGTGGCCATGACCATGTGCTGTGACAGACACCCAAGTGCCACTCCAAGTCCCCAACGGGCCTGACATGCAGAGGACTCAGCCACACAGAGGCTTGGAAGGAAGGCCCTGCAGTCAGCAGCTGCCCACAGGGACATGTGCCTCAGGGTCATCACCTTAGTCCTTACAGGTGGCACAAGGATGCGTGGAGAAGCACAGCCCTACATGAGAGGAACACAAAGGGGACCTGTCCTCCACAGTGACAGAGAGCAAGCTGTCCTAAACACTGCTCTATAAAGCAACACATGAGTCCAAGACAGACCACAGCTCCAGCTAAGGATGCTGAACCCAAAGGGTTACAGGCCAAATGTGAGCAGAAGAGCACAACCAGCATCCCAAGAGGACTGTCCTGATATTGCAGCCAGTTGTCGCTGGAACTTATCTAAAACAACGAGGACACATGTCTGATAACTTCAGGCAGACACACGGGTCCACGGCATCTGGCTCTCACCTGGGAAAGCAGACTGATCTGCTGGGATCAGCTTCAGTAGGCAGACACATAGATGTGTGCATACACACACATGTAGTTCAGTGCAGACAAAATGCCGTGGACACAGAACCAGGACAGATCTTTGAGAATGAACCTGGGGCCTGGGAAGCCACAGAGACTGTCTCCAAACCCTGGGACAGATGACTTTATGAGCTCAGCGGCCCCAGACTCACCTTGAAAAGCAACTAAAGGTAAGCTGCCTCCAGGGAACAGCCACAGTCAAGGTGTCGCGGGGAGGTTTTGTTTGGAGTAAAATTGCCTAATATTTGACTACTGCCATTTTTAATCTCCATGAGGCCACTCCGTCTGTGTCATCCCTTTCGAGCGTGAATACGAATACAGTTTTATGCCACTGAACAATCTGCACTGTGAGTTGGGAAGACCAACTTTGCCCCACACCTTTGTGTACACACAAGGACTCGCCTGGATTGAAAACCAGACAAGAACTTGGCTGCCGGGCGTTTCTGTAGCTATGAGGCTGGCAATGCTGCAGCTCAGTGTGGGTGAGCAACTAGACCTTTCATGTTTGCACAGCCCAGGGTCTCCCACAGGGCATGTGGGTGGGAGTGCAGCGGGTGGGGCTGCTGGCCATGGACAGTGGCCTGGCAGCCTTCGTGCTGTCTAGTCACACAGGAGTGGGCAGGCCAAGTGCATCTGTGACCATCCTGGTGTGCCTCTGTCTGCCTTCTCTCTCTCTGTGTCTTCCTGTGTATGTCTGTCTGTGTGTGCCTCCTCCATCAGCCTCTCTCTCTACCTCGTCTGCCTTGTCTGTGTGCATGCACCTCCATCCCTCCATCAGCCTGTGTCTCTGTGTGTGCCTTTGTTTTCTCTCTCTCTCTCTCTGCCTCCAACTGCTTCTGTCTCTCTCCCACTTCCATGCACACTTAGCCAAGCCCAGTGCAGCACAATGCATGCACACAACCACTCTAGTGAGTGAACAAATTCTACCCAGGCTCATGCTTGGTTCACACTTCGCTCTCAAATAGCCACTCAGGCAGCAGATCACTCCCATCTGGTCTCTGATTCCCACAGCCAGAGTAAATGGGCCTGGCTGAGCCTGCAGCTCCCAGTGAGCAAGCCACTTCCCGTGAAGAGTCCACCTGTGTGGCACGGGGTGCACTCTGGAAACAGGCAGCCTGCAGTGACACTTCCAACAAATGAAAATGTACAGGATGGTTTCAAAACTTTGCCATGGCTCTCAGCAAAACACATGACTGACTAGCTCAGACTTGACCCAAAAAATCAAAATAAATGCTGAAGGCCAGGAGTGTCTGTAAGAAAAAACACCAGTGCTGTCCACTGCCCCTCACGCAGGGGTCACTGCGTGGTCACTGCACCCAAATGACGCAGGCCTCAGTGGCTCCGTCTCCTCCGTGATGCACACACCCATCCACAAGTGGCGGCAGACGTCAGCAGCTGTTCTCCGTAAGTATGGCTGCTCCCCGCCCCCACGAGCAATGCAGGCTTCTGCAGAATTTTCCAAGTGAAGGCCCTAACTTTCTCTCAGGTTGGCCAGGCAGCAGTGTGCAGCTCTGCGCAGCAGGGTCTCCACATGATCTCATGTACAGAGTGGCTGCTGTTTCCTTGGCACCCAAAGAGGTGAGGATACTCTGAGCTAAAGAGTTTCCAGGTCTGCCCCTGCTTCCAGGCGGGCAAGGCCAAACTCCAGCCGCAGGGGTCTGCCCCTCGCCTCATTCTTGGGGCTCAGAGAGGCCCAAGCAGCGAACTGAGGGTGGGAATGCTGTTTGGCCAGGGACCCACAGTCACAGCAGAGCACCACGGAACAGACCACAGTCAGAGGTGGGGGCCAGGATTCATCCTGCAAGGAACAGAGCAAGTTCCTGCTGCATAAGCTGCAGTTCAGCAGGTCATTTCAAGTGGGAAAGAGAGGTCAGAATTTTAACTCACAACTTAGAACATTTGGTTTACTCCCCACAAATCATCAGCAGCAAATAACGTATCTCTTGTTCCGAGTCTCTGAACGGAGGATTTAAACGCATTAATAGCCACTAAGCATACGTTCACTCACAGATTTCAGAAACACTCCAGTTCTGAGTCCCCTTTCATGGTTGATTTTCTTCTACCTAATTAGCCAAGAGCACCTCTCATCAGGGCAGCATGCACAGGAGCAATTTTATAAGCAGCGCTTTGCCAACATGATGCGAAGATAAGTCTGAAATCAGACACATGAGGCAACCGAGGAGGGTAGCCACGCTGGTTTTTTCCACCACAGACACCAGCTCTGAGGCCAGGGCATTCCACAGAGGTAATGTCACTGACCTTCTATGAAAGTGGCCAAGGACATTGCATGGGAATGCAAGCTGGGCTCAGAGGCCAGCAGACAGCCTGGACCAACAATAAGGTACACGTTCCGAGCTGGCACAGGGCTGACTCCAGCAGACAAAGCATGAGCCCCCATGGCAGTTCAGCCTGCATTGCCCCTATGCCAGGCAAGTGGCAGAAGGGGCTGCTGGCCTGTGCCATGGCAGTCTTACTCCAGTTGCCCTCTTGCCTGTCAATTCCTTCACATCCATGCAGATGCCCACTGTCCCACTGTGTGTGCAGGTTGCACCCTGCAGTGGGGCCAGGGAGCAAGCACAGCCCACCACAGTGCAAGGATCCCTGGAGCTGACCCATGCGTGCTGTGCCCCTGGGGCCTCTCCCTGAGACTCTGTCCTGATCCCCACTTCACTCCCATGCAGGGGTCGAGGCCACCAGGTCAGCCTCTCCTCGGTGCTGGACAGTCCCTGCTCTGCTGCACAGTAGTCCCCTGCTCCTCGGCCCATGGACAGGCCTGCCTATAGGTGTGTGCCTCCCAACCATGGACATGGGCTCCCAAGGGAGGGCCTGTGGCTCAGGGCACAGGTGCTCCACTTCTCAGCATTGGGGACAACTGGCACCATGGGGGGATTTACCCTGACCCGCAGCTGCAACACTGCCGGAGGTCAGCAGATACCCTCACAGGCTAGCCACATTCCTACCATGCAGCAGAGCCTTTCCTCTGTTCCCTTCAGGACACCCCTCCTCCCCCTCGCTGGGGCCTCAAGGTCTGGGCTCAGGCTGGAGCCTCCACAGCAGCCTTCTCCCCATCACAAAATGTGTGCCAGTCCCACTAACTGCACAGGAGCTG